AAATGGAGAGTGGAAATGAAATGAAATAGGTAAAGTAATGGAAGCGAGCACAGTGGGCACGGCCAGGCGACGCGCCCGGGGCCGCAGACGGTGCGCGAGGCGCGCGGGCCGAGGTGGAGCGGGGCGCGGCCCTTGGCACGCGTTCAACCACGAGGTCGCTCAGCCTGAGTGACTAATAAATATCAAACGTATCACAAAAAGCGAATCAATTTGGCCGTGGTGGAGCAGGCGCGGACGGCTGGCTAACGTCCGCCATACGGCCCGGCGGCCATACGCCTGGCGACGCCTGCTGTCGTGCTCGCCCCGGACCTGGCCCAGCGCCACGCACCGCCACACCGCGCGCGCCACACCACGCCCTGCCCCACCACGTCCCACCACACCCTGTCCTCTCCTATCGGCCAAACCATCAGCTAGAGGAAAAAAAAAAACATCATTCGTTCCGAAATAAAGCCGAAGTATTTGTTGCAAAATGATCGGTAATACGAGTTCGATAACCATTCTCCTCCATATTTTCATAGTGGTATCTTGGACTCGACACTCCATTTTGTAAAAATGGAAATTAAAGTGTCGTACATGTACGAACATATTTTTCAGAGTGCTTCACTCCACTTGGGCCATAAGGTATGCTGTTGGTTGAGATGATAGGGAAACCCGAAACCCATGCTTCCGGGGCACAGCGGCCACCCCTGTACTATGTGTTCGATGTGGGGAAAATGTACAACGTGAAAGTTGTCTCTCTTTTACGAGTCGTTGTGTGTGACCAGTGCGCACCTTTCTTTCATGTTTCCACCCCGACTGAGTGCGCGCTCCCCAGTCGTGTTCGTGCAACGAGTATGACGCTAGAGAGTCTGTCGGCTCTGACGTGACGTGTACGACACGGCGAGGTGGGAGTCTATTTTCCGCTCTCGTATCTCCCGTACCTTCTCGCGGCCTGTCCCGCGCGCTTCCGCCCTTCCCTTTGCACAATCTGAGATGAAAGGACTTGTTATCCCCCCGCCCCAACCTCCCCCCGTCCCCGGCCCACCCTGCCGCCGCCCGTAAAACTATTTTGAGTTTTGCCGGGCGGGGCATCGGATGGCAACATAATGACTGCAGGGCTATGCGCCTGTAGCCGTCTGTTGCCGAGCACCTGTTTCACTGCGTGTGTAATCCCTACAAAGAAGTGGTGCTTCGTTAAGGCGGATGAAGAAGGCGGAGAGGGGGCGCTAAGTGCGTCGGGTCGGGCTCACTGGTGCATAAACTGAGGGCTGAACGCGTGTTGGGACAGGATGAGAGGTTGTCCGATAGAGATAATAGTTTGTAGGGTGCTTTTTGTGTTTTCTGATGTTTTTTCCTTTTTTTTTTTTTTGGCGCCAGAAACCTTTCTATTGCAACTCTGCCGAGTGGCCGTGGGATTTACTGCCGTTTGTTGTGACGGCGCGTGGCGGCACGGTGGGTGCGGGGCGTGGCGGGGCGTGGCTGCAGCCCGGTGGCGGGCTGCTGGTACCCGCTGCTGCCGCGCCGGTCACGACTCGTTTTCAAATTTACGCGCTCTCTTGTTCGACGTTAGACACTGTGAGGCTCCTGCCTGTGCCGCTTCCACCAGGCTGCTGCTGCTGAAGGGGTTGTTTTGCCACGCCCTGTTGGGGCCGGGTGGAGTGGGTTCACGACTCGGGGGTTGGGGGGTTGCTAGGAGAAAAAGGGGGTGAGAGAGAGAGACTCCTCCGCACCCGTTATTCGTCTGTTTAATGACCTGCAAAAGTTTGAGAGAGCGGGGGACGAGTAGGGGTAGGGGTAAGGAGAAGGGCGGACCCGCGCTCCATCAGGGTAACAATAAGCGTGATAGGTGAAAGGCATGGGAGGGGGGGAGGGTGGCAGCCCTTACGTGCCGACGTGGAATTAGCATTCGTTGTTCGTAGGGATTGGACCTTCGCGGTCCGATGGGTCGGTGGCGGGGTAGGGGGTAGTACGAAGAGAGAGAGAGAGAGAGAGAGAGAGAGAGAGAGAGAGAGAGAGAGAGAGGAGGGGCGGTAGTGGCGAGAGTGATGAAGTAAAGAAGGGCCATTTTTTACGCGTGCCTTTTTTAGCTCTTACTCATTTCTACCTTGTTTCACCCTTCTTCAATTTTTGAAGCCGTTTTTTTAGCTGCCTCCAATTTTTTGGTGGTCCCGTTTTTGCCCCCTTTCTTGCGGTTTACATTTTTTAATTGAATACCACGTGAAGCATTTTTGTTTGCACTGTGAAGTACCATTTATGTGTACCCTGCTGCCGTGCTTTGGTGGACAGGGATAATACGCGCAACCCTTGCAAGCGCTCACGCACGCACACATGCGCACGCACCCCTTTACCAAGCTCACACACAAACACACCTACACAAGCACGCGTGCACCAGCGCCCACAATCTTCCTCTCTTCACCACTATACGGCGCGCTGGGCATCTGGCAAGCTCTGATTCGGCCCACCGACCGGCCGCCGCTCCAAAGTTATTTCCGAGTTCTTTCCGCGCGCAATTTTCTGTTTACTCGAGTGCATCCCCCGCGATGACGCAGCCAACCTTGCGGTCGACGCGTGATACGGGGCGATCGAGTTTTCGAGCAAGTCCGGCAAGGTACTGAGCGGGAGAGAGAGAGAGAGAGAGAGCGAGCGAGAGAGAGGTGCATATACAGAGTTGATAGCGAGAAATGTT